AAGTATTTATCTACCACGTGAAATTTTCCCAACCAAAAATGATATCCTATATACAAACACCGACATAAAATTTAAATTGATTTCTGAGAATCCTACTAAAAGATTGTTTCCGCCTTCGAAATAAAAAGAAGCACGACCATTATCTCCCATAAAAGTATGCCGATGCTGTAAACATCACTCTTATCACCGAGCATACAATAACTTTTTGGATCAATATAAGGGTTTAAAAATTAAATGTTAAGCACCAATTTAATCTAGAAATATCCAAGGTTATTTTGCGCTTCTATTTTGTCGAAACGACGACCTTACAGCGTCACCATGCAAGCTATAAATGCATTTGGTGTTCGAGTTGTCTCTATTTGATCTTGAATTTCCAGAGACCATTTCATTAGTAACATATTTTTATAACATAGGTTTAGAATTCCTTGAAATAATCTATTTTTTTTTATTAGCAAAATAATTTTTTTGGTTAGATATAAAAATTTCCGCAAATGAAGGAAGTAAAAAGTACTTTCACTTCTAGAAGTGAGAAATGGACACAAAGAATTATGCAAGCAAGTCAAGGATATTCCACCAATAAACAAGTTCTCTTCTAGACTCATTATATACCGTTTGGTATTAAAAAAAATTCAGTATAAAATTAAATGAAAACTTACTTAATGACCATCAAAACAGGACCTTTTTTATAACCAATTTCCATCATCGTTAGAGCTACGATATATATTTATTTACTTAAACAGTTAGAACTTTTCAGCACGAAGTTAAGAAAGAATTGAAAGAATTGTAAGAAGTTCAAAAAGAAGAAAATGAGAGCTTTAAGCGTGAAATTATTTATACGTTGGGTAAAAGAGTATATTTAAAAAAAAGACGAAAAAAAAGTTCTGTGGAAGTTATTTATAATATCGGTGTAACCGATCCTATATCGATTTGGGAAGTCTAATAAAATCAAACATACCTTCTTGCTGATCGACAGTTCTTTAACTTCATAATTTCTTTGGACGCTGTAGCAGCTTTTCAGAATTACAAAGCCAATTACTTCAGAAAACTTAAAAAATAGTAATAAAGCAACCTCAACTTGAGTTTGTCAAATACTTTAGGCAACGGCGGTATTAATTCCAATGAACATTTTGCACCTCATTCTCCTTCGGAATAATTTTTGAAATGATATCGTTAAACTTTACGTGGGTTGAATGATGTGAACAGTAAAATTTCTATTCAAATTTTTTTATCCATTTATATTTATTTATTTATAAATAGAATTAATACATAAAACATTCGATATTTTCTTCTTAAATAGGGATTTTATTCAGATGTTGCTTACATTTCCCCTCCCGCCATCATTGAAATCATGCAAGATTCGCTAATTATAGATTTGCTGATGAATGACGTAAGGAGATGCTATCAGATTTTCCGTTAAGTAGTTTACTATGCACAATATAATATTGGTCGTTTATACGTAAAGGATGAAAGAACACTAAGGATTTGGCGTGGGTTATGGCTCGGTATCTACAAGCTACAAAATCTGGTCATCTTCTTGCGTAACAAGTTTAAGGCTGGCCTTTAAATGGTATCATGAAGCGGCCTAACAAGGATATAGCGTTTAAAGTTGGTCTCCTATTGAAAGAAATCACTTAATTGATATCAACTAGCAGCAGGAAACAATACATAAATTAGGTATCTGGATATGTATAGAATTATATGATGTGATGATAGATGATAGATGACATAGATGAAGTCAAGCGATGACAATAAAGAAGCATTAAATAAATTAGGAAATTTTATGAAATGGGAAATGATGACATTACAAGAAATCAGCTAATCAAAGGTGATAATAGTAATGATTATAAAAGTGAATAAACTTTCTAAAAAAGTTAAAGTTAACAATAACTTAACATGTATTATTTGTCTGGTTTATTTGAAGGTATCTGTTTTCAATGTGGGAAAGTCCCGAAGAATATAATCATGTGATATTTTGTTATAAAAAAAATAAAAATTTCAATTGAATAGTGAAAGAAGGCGATGTTTTAAACTAATGTTTTGAAAAATGGTAAGACTATTTCAAGTCCTTGTCATTGATATTTACATTTGATATTGAAAATTTCTAAAATAAAGGAAGTATTTATTATATTTAACTTGATAATCTGAACAAATTGCCTTAATTCTTCTTTAGTATGAAAATTTATTAGCATATTCAGTGTGAGATCTACAAACTCTAATAGTTTTACAATTTATCCCATTTGTATTTTGACGATTATTTGATAGCTGTACTTTATAAGACAAATTAATATATGGGAGGTTTGCTATAAAAATTAAAAAATTCTCAGAATACCATTTTCCTAGCAAATCTCCCATATGATAACGACTAAACCATAAATAAAATCTTACATTGTATATTTATTATTCGGTGAGTTAACAAATTTTACTGAACTTTTTAATCAAAGGGTATATAAGAAAATTTTTTTCGTCGAATTTTAATCAACGCGTCAAAAAAGATATTCAATGGGTTGTTACACAATCCTTTTTTAGAAATCTAACCTACCTATCTCGCTTTTTTTTTTTACGCGTTTTTTCTTACGTTCTTTTTAAATTCAGTGAAATGCGACATAAAATAGAAACACATATTAATTCAATATTGGTGGTATGAATGAATAATCTGATCGAAAAAACTTTTAAATTAATAAGCCAAGACTCAACTCCTTTGGCTAAAGTTGTTAGCTCAACGAATAACAAGTAAAGAACTATTTGTATTTATTTAAAATATAGTTTTTAATCATATATTAATAATTAAACCTTTCTATAAATACAGCTAGCCCGGCTCCCTTCTAGATTAGCATATTCCTTATATTATACCAATGAAATTAAAGGATTGATTGAAAGTTCTG